TTGCCCGATGTCGATTATCGTTTTCGATGCTCCTCCGAACATAAGTGCATTCCTATGAGTAGTGTTAATAATGGAATATCAAGATGTGTCGGTAGAGAAGATATGGCTGTAGGTATCGCCATTCGAGGGAAAGTAAAGAATCATCTGTTCTTTTCAATACTTTGCGATGGTTTTGTCGATCATGACCTGATTGATGGGCTCAACTACACAGATGAAATGGACTGCGAATATTGGCCTTGTAGCAATGTTTATACACAGTGTAATCATCGTGCAACGTGGAATTGTCGCAACGCATCCGATGAAGCTAACTGTCCTTCCAACCCATGTCGTCCAAACCGTCATCCTTGTATATCACTGCTTACTTACAACTTTACTTGCTTACCTCTATCGCGAATTAACGATGATCATATTGATTGTTTAGGCGGCTATGATGAACTTCATTATTGTCCATCACAGTCAATTTCATCTCATCGACAATACCGTTGTTTCAATGAAACGAAATGCATTAATACTCGGAACGTATGTGATTCACAAACAGACTGTATATCGGGCGACGACGAAAATCAATGGTGTACACAACTCATAAATTGGCCAGATTGGATGAAGAAATTTTCTCCTTCTGTACCATCAGACACTTTCGATCTTAATTTATATCTGTTACACTTAGGAGAAAGTTCAAATAAATTAAAAATGGTATATTTTACACTGAAAAATCATCGAAATTATCCTGATATTGATGGTATCAACAACGAAGACAATTCCATTGTGACAACATCTGTCGACAGTGTTCCTTCTGATAAATTCACTGTTAATTGGGATCAACTGGCCAATTATAATCTAAAGGCATTTTGTAATCGTGGATTTCCAGTCTATGTCCATAATTTAAAAGAACACTATTGTCTATGTCCACCAGCCTATTTTGGATATCAATGTGAATATCAAAGTCAACGTGTTAGTCTTACACTACGGTTTCGAACAGCTGAATTGCGAACAATGTTCACTTTTGTTATGATGCTTATGGATGAAAATGCAAATATACATTCTTCAGAACAAATTGACTACATTTCAATACGTAATTGTCGAAAAAAATACAATTTCTATCTTCTCTATTCAACACGACCTAAAAATTTCAATCATACATATTATGTTCGTATTGATGTCTACGATCGCTTAAAAATGAAATATTATATTAGTATGTACTATCCTATTCGATATTCATTTTTACCAGTTTATCGTCTTGTACTACGACTAGATATTCCTATGCGAGAAGTTATAACTATATCAAATAATTGTCCATTGAAATGTTTACATGGACAATGTAGATATTTTTTGAATTCGGATAAATATTTTTGTCAATGTGTTAATGGCTATTCTGGAATGTTATGTACAATTAAGAATTCTTGTAATTGTTCATCAGATTCGATCTGTATTGGAGTTGTTCAAAATCGATCGATATGTATTTGTCCTCATGGTAAATTTGGACCACGTTGTTATTTGAAAAGTACAGTATGCATCTCGAATCCTTGTTTGAATAATGGTCGATGTATTATTGGTGATGAAAAATTTTCTAAAACTGAATACTATTGTCTTTGTCCAGAAGGTTTCATGGGTGTTCTATGTGAAATTAACCAGACTAAAATCGAATTTATTTTTGAAAAATCAATACCTGTTCCACAATCAATTCTTATTCATTTTTTCTATGTTTCATCAATACCTTATCAACCTGCATATCTACATCTTGCTGATCCAATACGAACAACTTTGATATCAAAAATTAAATCCTATGAGCATTCTACTTTCATTTATTATGGAGGAACATTTCATATGATATTTGTCGAATTCAATGAACATCGTTATCTTGCTTTCCTTCAACAGAATTCTACATTGGCAATGAATATTTCAATAACAATTATTCCTCAACATCAATGTGCATCAATTAAAGAATTGCTCGATGATCATATTCAAACCTTACCACGATGGCATCGAGCCAAATATTATCATGTTCCATGTCAAAAACATTCAAATCTTGTCTGTTTCTATGATAACGATTATTTTATGTGTCTATGTGATATTGATCGACATGCAAATTGTTTCAAATTCGACTACAAACCTGTTTATAATTATTTAGGATCGAATTTTTGTACAAATGATGGTCAATACTATCTAGATAATAATACTTGTCCAACATCATCATCATGTTTTTGTAAAGACTGTTATTATGGTAGTCGATGTCAATTTACAACGAAAGGATTCGGTCTATCACTCGATGATATTCTTGGTTATAGTATTTGGCCTAATTTTTCTTTTTCGAAACAACCAATCATAGTGAAGCTGTGTACAATTGGAACGATATTGATGTTTTCAATTGCTATTGTGAATAGTATATTGTCTATAGTCACTTTTCAAACAAAAAAGTCACTTAAAATAGGTTGTGGTATTTATCTACTTGGATCATCAATCACATCTTTGCTTACAATGACAATATTTACTATAAAATTTGTTTTACTTCTCATTTCTCAAATGTCAAGAATTACTAATTATTCTTTTCTTAAATCAAATTGTCTTTGCTTAGATATACTCTTGAGATCATTTTTGGCTATCGGAGATTGGTTAAATGCTTGTGTGAGTATTGAACGAACATTGACCATTCGACTCGGAATCAGTTTCAATAAAGTAAAGAGTAAAGAAATCGCTAAAAAAATTGTGTTGGGAATATATTTATCAGTCTTTGCAAGTTTTATTTATGATCCTATTTATCGTCGTTTACTTGAAGAGACAGAAGAACAACGAATATGGTGTGTAGTTCATTATCCATCATCGGTACGAATTTTTGCCACATTTAATAATGTTTTTCATTTTATTGTACCTCTTACTATCAATTACATTTCAACTGTATCCATAATTATTCTAATAGCTCAACAAAAATCGAAGACTCGCAAACAAGAAACCTATAAACAACATCTATGGCAACAATTTCATAAACACAAACATCGATTATTGAGCTCATTTATTTTAGGTATCATTGCTCTACCTCGTCTAGTTATTTCACTTATGTCCAATTGTATGAAATCTGCTCGAAATCCTTGGCTATATGTCTGTAGTTATTTTATTTCATTTATTCCACCATCAATTATATTCATACTTTATGTTCTCCCATCTGAGTTCTATCGAAAAGAATTCAATAAAGCAACTGTTGGTATTAGAAAAACGATTCAAACTCAATTCCGGTGCAAATAAGTTTTACAGCGAAGAACGAATTATCTTTCTGATGGTTTCATATTAAGACTCACTTTCAATTTTCTTTCAATAAAAAGAAAAAAACAGTTCTTCTAATGTCTGAATGTGATTATCATATTTTCACAAGTGATAATGTATCGATGGTTTAGTCACACGTGGATGTGGGGTGGATGTGGTTGTAGGTTCTTTCTTCTCTCACAGGCACACCCCACACTTACACCCACATCCTATACTCACACCCGCGCCTGCGTCAACATTCACACCCGCACTATGGGTGTCAGTTCCTGGTTCAGTTTCCGGGAACTCGGGATCCGGAGTGGGTTCCGTTCTTGAAAACTCGGGAACCCATATCGGCTTGACACAGATTGAAAAAATAAGCACGCTCATAAGTCTCAATATAATCATAAACGTGTAGAAACGAATCTTCAAGTGGGTTCCTGAGTTTCTAGAACCCAGAACCCCGTATAGGTTTCGTTCCCGAGAACTCGGAACCCGGTGCGGATTCCCATATCCGGGAACCCGTTCAAAATTCGCATTCTTAGATCCTGGAACACAGACCAAGTTGCAAGTTCTGCGTTCCTAGGAATCCGAAATGAATTTCGTTCTCTGGAACCCGAAATCCGCCGCGGGTTCCGTTCCTAGGAACCCGGAAACCCATATCGTCTCAATACAGATTGAAAGAATAAGTATGTCCATAAGTCTCAACATAATCAAAAACGCATGGAAATACATTTTCAATTGGGTTCTCGAGTTTCCAGAACTCAAGATCCGGAGTGGATTCCGTTCTTGCGAACCCGAAAACTCATATCAACTTGATAAAGATTGAAAGTATAAGCACGTTCATATGTCTCAATATAATCAGAAACACGCGGAAACGAATTTTCGAGTGGGTTCCGGTCCAAGGAAATGGAGCCCTAGGGAACGGAAAATCCTGAACCCCTAACTCACATTCACATCCTTATTATATAGAGGTGTTCATTAAGGACAGTTTTACTGTAAATCTCCTCCCGTAATATAAGCCCCTCCCATATGAGAAGCCCCCCTCTGGAAGGTCGATGTACAAGATGTATTAGAAGCCCACCTGATTTTAAAATTTTTTGAAAATCTTTGGAAACTTTGTTAGTGTTTTCATAGTAAAACTATCAAAATTGCATGCTTTTATGGTAAAAATTAGCTTAATTCTTATTCACTAACACAAAAGTTCCGGAAGCCCCTTGAAAATCCTTCGAAAAACTCTTAAACAATGTTGGCATCTCTTTTGCTTTCAGCAGAAAAATTCTGCTTTTCAAAGATTTTTTTGCTTTTTGAGATATCTTCTCCATTCCATTTTTTATCAACATTTGCTATATTATACTATATCATTCTTTAAATAGAATGAGGAAAAATTCTTATTAAAATCTAGCAGTGTTTTTGTCTGATCCTTATTCTAAGATAAACATAATTTTTGCTTTTCACGGTTTACGAAAATCTGATAATCTATACCCCTTGCTCTCGCTCCGTTCTTTACTTATGTCTTTTTACGTAGCGAAAAAATAGCACCAGATTCTATATGTCCTGTCCAAATTCGTTTCTTAGTTTGTGCTGTATGCCGACTTCATTCAACTTTACATTTAATACTGATATTTTCAAGTGCTATTATTAGGCAAACAACGAGAGATTACGTGTAAAAACTGGTTTCGGCATGGGCTTGACAAAGTAATTCCTGTCCGAACTCGTTTCTGCATATGTGTTATTATTCTGCATAGTTGCACTGAATGTACAATTCAATTTTTCATACAGTGCATCCACTTAGAGAAATAAAATAGATAGAGAAATAAATCCGGACAGGAAATATTGAATTTGGTGCTAGCTTTCCAAATGTTATCTTTCCTCTTATCATATTTTGTGGTAAGTATTAGTATAGGTATTGATATAGATAATTATTTCACGCACAAACACGTCCACATATGCAAAATTTATTGAAAGCTGTTAAATCCAATGAAGAATATACATCTTCTATTTTCATATTTGACTAGGTTTTTTTCTTGATTTTATACAAAAAAAGATTGGAGATTTTTGCCAAATCTTCTCATTATTTCATTAAGTCAAGGTTTAAACCATTGTTTAGTATCATAAATATATTTTCTGCTTTTCAAATGTCATAATGTGGTAACACTGCTCTTGAAAACCCTGAAAAATCTCTGAAGTCTCTAGAAAACTTTTTGTACTTGCAATTATTAAAAAATAAGGGGACTTAATAGAAGCTTCCTTCAAAAATTTTGTATTCTTGGATACTTTAGAAGTCTCGGAGGCTCCTATTACGGGGGAGGGGGGGGGAGGGATTTACCCTTTGTTTAGCATTGCAATTCTAATTTTTGTATCAATAAATTATTGTGTACGACCTATTGCAATTCATTCATAATTCTAGTGTATAAGTCACTATCCCATCGGTGAATAGAAGCGTTAAACATCAGCTCATTAGATAACTTCTTTTTAATATATACTCCTTCAATTAATAGTTGAGATAATTAACATTTACACGATATACTCAAAAGTAAATGTAGCTTATTCTTGTTGATTTGAGTAAATCAGTTTCTATTCCAACAATCATAGAAATATTGATCGTAATATAGTAATTCAGGGTAAAAACAACGACTAATTTCAATTGAATACAATTTTTTGCTGAGGAAACTTCAACTTATGATCGCTTGTAATGATCGATAAGTCGCGCATAGAAACAAAAATCGTGTATTAGATACAAAGAGTACAATGTCTTCGTTTTTTATAGATAAAAAATATCCGATAGTCTAGTTCAACATATAAATTAGATTTGTGCTCAATTCGATTGCGAAATGAACACAAAATTAGATGTCACCGTAAAAAAAAAAGTCTTTTGGAGATTGTTGTTCATAAAATTCTCGGATAATATCTAAGACAAGAAAAACTTAGTAGTTAAGATGATATTTATCTTCGATATATCATGCGTTCTGGATGGATATGAGATAAGTTAAGTAGAAAGAAAGGGACGAATTCGCTAGTTGTGACCAATGAAACATCAGCAAAAAGCTCTAATGCACGTCAAATTGTGAATGAAATGTAAGACTTCAAAAATTTTCTAACTAAATCGTAATTTCTTGCATCTTGATAAGCAGAAAAACATGGTATTAGATGTAGTCGTTGTGATCTTTTTCAAATACAGCAATAACCTTACTTATACTTACGGTTTTATAAATGATTGTTGTTCAAGTTTTTACAAATCTTGACAAATTTAACTGTAATTGCAAGAAAACTTTGTTTTATCTATTCAAAATCTCTGATAACTTCAAAAAAGATGTTTTGCCAATACTGATTTTTTTTTGTTCACAACGATCTAATCGATAGTATTTGATAGAGCACAATAAACAAGACTAAGCAGTTCGAGCGTGTATGTATATCTTCTTTTCATCTATACGCTAAAGATTGCTCTTGAGCAATGCGGTCAATGAAAGTTATTATGAAAATATTAACAAATGTCATTTATTTTATAGTCAGTCGATATATGAAGAGATTTCTCTTCATTGTTTAATTATAAAATAATAGAATAACGTGAACTTGGTAGCTTTTAATGTTTGAAATTCCCGGAAAAACGTCTATATTATAATTGAAAAAGAACAACTTGAGTAAATTTTAAGTCCGTTTGATAAGATTGATTTCGATTTAAGATCATCATTACCTTCGAAACTTAAGAAAACGCATAGGTAGTACAAATTTTCCAATTGGATGATTTCTACAATTGATTTTATGTTCAACATTTGCGTAATTTTTAAATAAAGAATAGTCAACCAAACAATCCCAACAGAATTCATATCGACATTTTTGACAAGTTATATGATCACAACCGCCATCCTTCTCAATGTTGCATTGACATCTGGGACATTTTTTCGAATTTTTTTTAATCCATTTTCGTGTTCTTGTATCACTAGATGGATACAATCGATCATATTGTTCACAAGTCATACCTTCATGCCATTTAACACGATGAAAAGCACATGTATCTCTTTTGCATTGACTACAAGTAATTTTCCAATTTCGAGTTAATCTTCTATAATCATATTGACCAGAACCACATTCATGAGCACACCAAAAAAAATTAAATTGATTTTCAAAGAATCGTTTGATCAGATAAGCATCATATTTTCTCAATAATAAATTATTTTCAGTAGCCAAGAGTACTCGACGAATTTCGTCTGAATTCCATTTTACCAAACAATTTATTTCAGGACATGCCACTCGACTACTAATACCACTATCAAGAATAGTTTTAACACTGTAGGATGTGCATTTATTGCAAATATACCGACGAGTATGTCGACATTTTTCACTATATGTTGGATAAAACTCTCGTTCAGGTTGTTCAACGAAGCAGACAACACATTCACGTGTCGGTGAAGAAATTTGACTATAATTGAGAATATTCATATGTACAATTTAAATTTTTCTGATATTGAATAATTAACAATAATAGTAAAATAGAAAACATTTAACAACTACAAAAATATTCGAGATATATATTTTGTCTGAAAAAAATCTATCTATTTTTCATATTTCGACATGAATGATTGATTGACATTAGAAAGAATACATTTTTGTAAGTTCAAAATCGAAATTTCTATGTGTACTAGTGATAAAGATTGTTTGTCTGAAAAAAGTGAAATGGACAAATGAACCATTCTAATAGCAGTTTTTATGCTGTAATTTCAATGCAGTTGTTATTTCAGTCAAGTGTGTATCTAAATGACGTAATTCATTGTCGAACGGTCAAATTACGATTGAAAACTTTTGGATATGAATGTTTCCTTATTTTACAAGTAGAACTATAGAATTGAAATTAGTTTTGAATAGTGAATTATTCTTGTTTCTATAGAAGATTAATTTTTGATCAAAATAAATAATTCTTAATGCAATGTGATCAATTAATTTTGATTAGAATATGTCAATCACTCTTCTCTTCTTTCATGCTACAACTTGAATAGAAGAATTCTTTCAATATAAAATACTTGTTGAATATTCAGACAAACATGATCATTCATAATTGTCAATAAATCACAATGAAACAGTACCTATAGATCATTTCATCGAGCTTACTTTTCTTTGACAATAGCAGTTTTCTCGGTCATGACCACATTGACTTCACATGGTGTGTTTTGATCATGCTTCATCTCACTCTACAAAATATAAACTTAGATTTGTAGCAAAGAAAGTCGATTTAAATTACATGCTGATAATTATCATGGTTCCATAAACAAAATTCATTAGGATTGGCTGAATGATAGTCGCTGGAGTCAATTTGATGCATCATGGAATCAGAATCCTGATATTCATTGTCTATAATAGAAATGAATGAATTCAAATTTTTTATTATCTGACTTTGTAATGCACATATATTTTCCATGGTTATATGAACTCATATCAATAGCAATATTTTCTTCATGCTCTATTATATACATCGTAAATAGACTTTCACCTAGAGGCAAATTTCTTCATTATCAAATCGAATTCAAATCTCACGGATATTATAACTAAACAATTACTTATAGATTAAGGGCAGCACAAATATAAGAATGAACAAATGTTCAAGTTCAAACGCTTAACACAATAGAAAAAACGAGAAAATTCGATCAAGAGTTCGAATTTCTTTGTGCTAAGTATATTAATAATCTTGACTTGTAATGCCCTATCTTTAACAGTATGCTTTAAATGTCTATTAATATTCACAAAACCCATCCTTCATCATACTGCTGATTAATAAAAGGTTATTTTTGTCTCAATACTCATAGAAAATAGATATTTACAATCATTCATTTCTGAACAAATTAGCTGTTGATACTTCAGAATAAATTTTTGAGGAAAATTCACTGTTTTTATGCAATATATTGTATCTCTTACGATCATGAGACCATTTTACATATATAATTTAGAGATTTATCTTCAGACGAAATTGCAGACTCAAAGTTAGCAGATTGATCAGAATGAATACTTTCTGTTCAATGATTTTTATGTGTTTCACTCACTGTCTGTTTGTGATTCCGCATCCACTGTATTGAATGATTCTGATACATCTAAATATGAAAATAAAAACACTATTAAATTTATATTTTTCTTATGAATGCATGATAATATCTGACCTCTATGTCGTGTTCTATGTTTTCTTCTATTCACTAATGAATGTTGATCCTTGGTAGACGAATTTTTTGAATGCATTTTTTTAGATGAGCTAAAACTATTTGTGTCAATATATCGGCGTGCTGGTACTTGTCGATGATATATATCTTCAGTTTGTCTTGTGTAACCTTCGATTGAAAATAAATTTTAGTTTTTTTTTTTTTTTCTTATCTTAAAATCAACAATGAAAAAGAACCTTTTTCAACAGTAGCTAGTGCTATTGATCCAATATCAACTAAAACTTGATCATCTTCATTATTCTTTTTAAATGTTACACCCGATACATATGGTTGAATAGTATGAAGATAATCTTGTTCAATAAGATTGAGTATATATCGAATATCAGTTAGTTCTATATGATTGAAATCATTATCACTTTTTATTGGCATGTGTTGTCGAGGATATCGTTCTAATGATTCATTGAACAATATGTCTGAAGGATGTTGTATTGCACGAGCAAGATTATGATAAAAAACATCTGTTTCATCAAATACTCTGTGTGTGGTGTATATTACTTTATCAAATGTTTGTTCTTGTAGTGGCATAATATATTTGAAACTGTCATGAGACGAAGATGTTTGATAATTTGTTAATGAATATTGATCATGATTATGTGAATGAAGAATTTGTTTCACTGGTGAATAATTATATGAAACTATTGGTGATAGTTGTTTGTGAGTTGTTCTATTATTGACTTGAGTTGTTGATGAGTAATTATTCGATAGTTTCTGTGTTGTAGAACTAAACGATTAAAAAAGATTCATTTTTCAATTATTTTTCAAAAAAAAAAACAAACAAATTAATTCTTCTTACGAAGATGTCTCCATTTTTTTAAGTCCAGGAACATTTCTGTTGTGTTCTTGATGATTAATCCATGACTTCAAACCTTGATCATATGAAGATTGTTGTACTTGTTGATTTCTCAACGATGAAAGATTTACTGGAGTACTAAAATGGCGGACAAAATTTTAGAGCACTTTTTATTTCATGATTTTTTTCTATGAAGGATAGCTTGCGGAGGACAACTAAATAATGATTTCGATAGCTCTCGAAATGAGCTACAAGTCTATGAAGTCAAAATTGTATAAGACATATTACTCGAATATTAATGAAGGAAACTACTTTTTCCTCAGCGGATAAAACTTTAGAGCACTTTTAAAATTTTTTAATATTTTATTTATTTTTCGATTTTAAAGAATTATCAAAAACTCTTTTTCGGTGCCATTCGATGCAGAATTAAATGGACTATATTTTGGTAATAAGTAATTTTGAATATTATTAGTTCTGATTAATTAATAAATATAGAAAAATTTTTGTTTTAATTTTCAACTTTTAGGTACAACATTCGAAAGAACATTAAAAACTGAACAAAATGGTATATTAATTTTATCGAGATAATTCATTTTAGTAAGATTGTAAATAGATTAGTAAAATTTACTACTCCACCGCACTACGATCTTATTACGAATGAACTCTACAAGACATTTTTGAAACTTGGAATATAGTCTATTTTGTAGAGCGGACTTGATGCTTTAAAATGAGACTTAGCTGACTTCTGTGTGATGTATTATTCGATCGATACAATGCTTTTAGTTTTCACGAACAATTTTAACGATGTTTTTCATACTAATCTATTTACAATCTTACTAAAATGAATTATCTCGATAAAATTAATGTATCGTTTTGTTCAGTTTTTAATGCTCTTTCAAATGATGCACCTAAAAATTCAAAATTAAAACAAAAATTTTTCTATATTTATTAATTAATATTAATTAATCAGAACTAATAATATTCAAAATTACTTATTACCAAAATATAGTCCATTCAATTCTGCATTGAATAACACCGAAAACGAGTTTTTGATAATTCTTTAAAATCGAAAAATAAATAAAATATTAAAAAATTTAAAAAGTGCTCTAAAGTTTTGTCCGCTGGGGAAAAAGTAGTTTCCTTCATTAATATTCGAGTAATATGTCTTATAGAGTTTTGACTTCATAGACTTGCAGCTCGTTTTGAGAGCTATCGAAATCATTATTTAGTTGCCCTCCGCAAGCTATCCTTCATAGAAAAAATCATGAAATGAAAAGTATTCTAAAATTTTGTCCGTCACTTTAAATATAAGTTCAAATTCGACGATATTCATCCTTTCTATAATGAAATCTTATTGCAAAACTATATTTTAATAGAACTATTTCCATTAGCAGCAAGAAAAGAAGAATTGTAAGGATATTCTGAATAGAAACATGATAAAGAACTAGCTTTTACTGCTAGAAAGAAGTAATGAAATTGCATTGAATTATATATTACAGAGTATTCTAGAAATTTTTCTTGACAGTTTACAATAGAGTTCTTTGGTGACTAGTGTATCACATCTGGTCACCATAGTGAATTTTTGACTTTCGACAGTACATTAATACCTTCAATGGATAATTCAAAACAAAAAAAACCTACACGATCCAAATTTTTAACTTTATCCGTTTGGAAGTTACAGGCATTTTACTATGAGCTTTTATCCTATGTGATACAATGTATCGTTATCATTTTCTAACAATGAAAACTGCTGATCTCTCTATCTTGCCCTTAAGAAAAATTATTCAAAAAAACAAAAATACTCACCGCTCTTCTTTTCCTAAATGGATAATAATACCAGTTGGGCTTTTATCAACCGATCTATCATGACCATAATGATTCCAGACATATCCCGAAGTTAGTAATTTATTTGAATGTCTATTAGCCATTATTTATCCGTTTATAACCATAAGCACGTTGTTGATTAGAAAGAAAAATGAATTGATAATGACGATATAATATATATATCGATAAAAAGAAACAAACATGTACAAAGAGCACAAAATCATTCAAGCATTACATTTGCATACCTCAATTTTTAATAACCTGCACGATTATATCTAATACATGTTGACGAACGACCGATTTTCTATGAGTCATATATATGTAGTTATTAAGAGAAAGTGTTACAAAAGATTGATTTAGTATTACGAAATATAGTCGTACTCTTTCGCAAGAATATATATTCAAAAACCAAAGTCATTTTTTAATGGCGAGTTAGAATAGTGATCCTTACAGCAAGGAATTGGATGTTTTAATTCATTTTCACAGCTGTCTCTCTCTCTCTCACATTCTGCTTTTTTCAATATTCATTCGACTGTCACTTTCACAGTACTGCTATTCATCAATTCAACATATACAGACTTGTATATCACAACTATCTTTAATAGTGTTTTACTTTGAAGTTTTTATTTGCATACGAACGATAGATTGTAGTCTCTCACTTAGAAGTTCTGTAATTTTGAATGATTTTGGATCGTGTACAGAAAGTCGTCATTCAATATCACACTGAACTATTTGTTTTCCGAGAAATTCATTGTTTCGAGAATAACGCTAAAAAGTGACAAGAAAGAGTTTCATGTGTTGATCGTTATATGAAGAACATTTACACAAAAAAAAACTCAGGCTCTATAGCGTTTTGTTCTTCAAATCTGATCGATCGAATACAGTATCAAAAGCGATCAACACATCTGTGGTGATGATCTGCAAGAGATAGAAGTATTACTAACGACGCTCGCATCCGGATTCGTCCAATGAAAAATGTGATTCATATGATTATCTTAGTTGTATTGTACATTAATTCGAATGCAAGTTCAATTACGAACGCTTAGATGAGACAAACTAGTGAAATATTTCTCATGATATTCTATGCTTTAATTATTAGATCATGCCATTGAATATGCACTCGAGTTGTCAGATCTTCCAATATGATAGGAAAAATTCCGAATTTTTATGTTTTTTCTCCTAAATTGTAGCTTTTACTAGCTTCGAAACTTAGTCTTTTCAGTAATTAGTACATCTTCGTTATACTACTGTAATCATTATATAGTACAGAGTTTTGAGATTACTAACTGTACAAACTCTAGAGTCTATCGGATTCAAGAATTTCCGGACTCGGATCCGATGGGCTCTAACAAGTTCTCTTGAACTTAAAGCCTTTCAGAGCCTAACTGAATAGGCTATATTATTAAAATAAACCATTTGAATAAACAGTGTAGCCAAAATAAAAAGATTTCGAAGTTTCAGAAGAATTTTTCTTTTTTCGCATCATAATTCTAATATGTTAAACTGAATTAGATTTAGTCGTGACTGATGAGTTTGAGAATTTGAATGTGAATATAAGTGAAGTTGAAGAAGAAAAACAACTATGTCATTAACAATTTTCACATAAAATATTGATAGAGCAAAAGATATTTCAATAAAAAAAAGACAGTATTTCTATTTACATGTCAAATTACTACTTTCCGAAACTGAAATAAAAAATTTCTGAATCGTCATCGCCAAAATTTCGATTTATAACTTTTTAATCTGACAATCCTGATATGTACCGACACATGTTCATTATGAAACAGTCTTTTTTTTACCAGATATATCCAAATATCTAACATATGATTGTCCTAATTCTTTCTCTCTCTCTCTCTCCTTATTAAAACTTCATTGTTATATAAAGTGCCAATAATTCAAAAATGTAACAAATTTTTCTCTAATATGTTCATATGGTTAAATAGAACTCATTGAGCTGTACAACAGTGAGTGTGTTCAAAAGTTTTCAAGCTCTCTTGAAGTGCTAAAACCTGAAAAAAACCTCGATTTGAAAAATATTGATGAAAGACACTTAATGTTCAATGTCATCAGATATTTGAATCAGTTTCTGTTGCTTGACAAGTCCAAAAATGGTTTCTTTGGATTCAACATGTAAAACTACATTTGGGAACATATATTTTAAAATGTTCAGATAAAATACTGTCAGTAAAGTGTTGAACATGAAGTGAGACTCTGAAAAAAAATGGTTCGTACTTGCAACAAAAGCATCAAGTTTCATGTGTTTAATTATTTGCCACGCAATTATATGCTATTGAGAGTATGTGAGTTTCAATGAAGAGAAGAAAAACAGTCGCATCCACATTCACACACAAATGTATATTTTATTTTTTTGTAGAAATACTTTCTCTCGTTATTTTCCTCTCGGCACTTTGAATAATTATCATTTGAAGTAATGTAACCGAGCAAAAAAAAATAATTACGTCTCTAGAATACTTAAAGATATGATAACAATAGACTATATAGTTGGTTCTGGTAAACCAAGACATTTTATTGAATAAGTTCGTCATTCAATTATCTACTGGCAATATCAACTCATGGACTGTGCAGCGTAGGTCGTGCTTATTCGAAGTTCAATCGTGTCTTTGGAGTCTATATATTCATGTTTACGTTTAGTCTTATATTCTTTTTTTTGTCATATCGTTTGTCAAACGCAGACAAAAGTTTAAATTCATCTTGATCGAACAATGATATCTTCTCCTGTCACTTTACAACATTCAATCAAAATCTTCTTAATTTACGCGTAATTCCATTAATTGTCGGTCTATTTAGTCGAATGTAAATAGGAAGATGGGCGTAAATCGGTTTTCCGTTGAGTGATCTATCAATGATTTTAGTACGAATATCATGTTAAAAACGGTCCTCTCAATGACATTCTACATATATCAAAAGCTTTTCTCTTCCCTCAGTTCATGGTTCAATGTTGGTCTCGTTCGTTTGTTACACTATAATGATGAACTTCCGATGCCTAATGAAACATTATCTGACTCATTGATTATATCTGATGAAACTATTCAATAGTTATGCATTCATCATCTCATAATATTGTCAAACCATAAATTAAATCTTTTATTCAATATGTCAAAGGATATTTAAAGGACAAAATTCTTTTCAAATGATTTATTAAAACATGATTTCCGAATCGCAGATGACCAATGGTAATTATTTATGAAGATCTTCGTAATCGAGACATCTATTAAGGTGTAGATGTAAATATTCGTACTTTTTTTAAACATACACCAAACTAAAAACAAACAATGATATTTAGGAAGATTTCAAAAACTAAATTGAGTAATGGAATAATACAATCATATGAGCTCAGTAGCTTTTGTTGCTTGTAATTGATGAAAAAAAAACTTAGACTATTATTGAAAAGAATGTTTTAAACAAGTGCTGAATTAGTTCGATAAGACTGTGTACATTTGAGATTATTGAGACCTTCGTAAACTCAAAAAACGAACAGGTGACACAAGTTTTCCGATTATATGATGTTTACAACTGATTTTATGTCGAACATGCGAACGATTTGTAAATGGAGCATAGTCGACCAAACAATCCCAACAGAATTGATATCGACATTTTGGACAAGTTATATGATCACAACCACCGTTCTTTTCAATGTTGGATTGACATCCGGGACATTTTTTTGAATATCTTTTAATCCATTTGCGTGTACCTGCATCTCTAGATGGGTAGAATCGATCATATTGATTACATGTCATGCCTTCATGCCACTTAATACGATGAAAGGCACATGTATCTTTTTTACATAAGATACAAGTTATTTTCGGATTTCGAGTTGATCTTCTATAATGATATTGACCAGAACCACATTCATGAGCACACCAAAAAAACTTATCATCATTTTCGAGGTATTGTCTGATTTGATAAGCATCATATTTTTTCAACAATAAATTATCATTAGCAACCAAGAGTACTCGACGAATCTCATGTGAATCCCACTTTGTCGAACAGTCTATTTCAGGACATGGCATCTGGCTACTCATAGCACTATTGAGAATAACTTTGACACTGTCGTATGTACATGAATTACAAATATAACGACGACTATGTTCACATGTTTCACTGTATATAGGATAAAATTCTTGTTTAGGTTTTCCGACGAAACAAACATCACATTCGCGCGTGGATGAAGAAATTTTACTACAATTGAGAATATTCATATGTACAATTTATATTTCTTTTGAATATTGAGTAATTAACAAAGGATAAAAAGTATACTTCTGTAGATGTGAAGTACGGAGAAGTATGCTTTTTACCCCTTGGTAATTAACAATGATATTAAAGCAGAAAACATTCGAGATACATTTTCCCCGAAAAAATCTACAATAAAACATACTGAAAAGTTCATAAGTGATCTATCTGGTTTTTCACATTTCGACATGGATGATTGATCAGCATTAAAAAGAATACATTTTTGTAAGTTCAAAATCGAAATTTCTATGAGTACTAGTGATAAAGATTGTTTGTCTGAAAGCATTGTAAAATTTCGAAACAAGATTCTGATGACAAACTCAAAAGTGAAAATGAACAAATAAATCATTCTAATAGCAGTTCTTACTCTTGAATTTCAGTACAGTTGTCGTTTCAGTCAAATGTGACTAAATGAAGTAGTTCATTGTCGAGCGATCAAACTACAGTTGAAAACTTTTCAATATGAATATTTCCTTATTTTACAAGCAGAGCTGCAGAATTGAAATCGCTTTTGAATAGTGAATTATTCTTGTTACTATAAAAGACTAGTTTTTGACCAAAATCAATAATTCTTAAGGGCCATCCCTCTAAAATGAAATTTTTTTTTTCGAGCATCCAATCATGATGAAAATTTCAGTGGAGATGTATCTCGAGCTAGACATCTCACAGTAAAATTTTTAGCTCGACGCATTGAGTCTACGAAGAGTTAGCATAAGGCTATGGGTCAAAATTTAGGTTTCCGTGCGTCCCAAATTTCGAATGCTAGAAAAGTCGGGCTGATTTTAAAATGTAGCCAATATGTGGCGCAATAACTTAACAGGGTCTGATTTTGGATTCTCTCCTAGCTTGTGTTTCTTAGAGAATTTCTCTGATGAAATATGAAAAATCCAATGGGGGGGTAGATCCAGAAAAGTTGGTTTCTTATAAAAATTAATGAAGAAATCGAAAAATTCGACTCTGATAAGTTGTAGTGCCACATATTGGCTACATTTTAAAACCAGCCCGACTTTTCTAGCGTTTAAAATGGCGGAGAAATCTGAGACGCAAGGGAACGTAAAAATTAAAAATTCTATTTTGAGAAAAACCCAAACTTTTTAGAAAAAACCTTATTTTCTCCTATGGGAGGTTCAGAAAAGCCTGTACAATATCCTTAAATCTCATCATAAAATCAATAAACTATAGTGCATTCGAAAGTAGTCACTTAGCTCTATCTAACAAACTATAAATCACAAAATCCACAAACTTAACCAAAATTGACGTTTTTTTAGGGGCCTTAATGCAATATAATCAATCAATTTTGGTCAGAGTAAGTCGATCACTCTTCTCCTCTTTCATGCTACGACTTTAATAGAGAAACTATTTCGATATAAAGTACTCGTTGAAAATTTAGATAAATCTGATCATTCGTAGTTGTCAATAAATCACAATGAAACAGCACCTATAGATCATTTCGTCCAGCTTACCTTTCTTCGTCAGTGGAAGCTTTTTCAGTGACAATCACCTTGGTTGCACATGGTGCACTTTGAATATGTTTTAGCTCATTCTACAAAATATAAACATAGACATATCGCAAAGAAAATCAATTGCAATTACATGCTGATAATTATCATGATTCCATAGATAAGATTCATTAGTATTGATTGAGCAATACTTGTTAGACTCAGATTGATACATCATGTGAACATTTGCTTGATATTCATCCTCTATAATAAAAATGAATGAATTGAAATTTTTTATTATCCGACTTCTATAATACATATATTTTCTATGGTTAGATAAACTGATATCAATAGCAATGTCTTCTTCATGCTCTATTACATAGATGACAAATATCCTTCAGATATTGAAAATAGACCTTCATCTAGACAATTTTTCTCAATTATATTAATCTCTTGAAAAAAAAATTAAGTTTTCTTTCGGTCTCTATTGTAATGCATAGATAATTATACAACGCTCATAGAAAATAGATATTTATGATTATTCATTGCTGAAAAAAACTAAGTGTCGATACTTATGAATAATTTTTTAAAGGGAAAAAAAATGAAGATAATTGACTGTTGTTATGTAATGTATTGTATCTCTTACAACCATGAGACCATTTTGCATATAATTTACGAATTTTTCTTTAGATGACAAAAAGTAGATTACTATTAGAATAATCGTCGGTTTCATCGCCGTTGCAATCGCTCCATTGATCGATGTTGCAACCGTTCGATTTATCACCAGCGCAATCAATCCATTCTTCGTCCAAGGTCATAGTCGCAATCATCGATAAAAATATCTTCGATCTTAATGTTATATGTTAAATTTCGTGATGGACCTTTGAATGATTGCTCTACTAAGTACGGACAAATCTAATTGGATATAAAAAATCTAAAGAGAGGAGACAAAAGAGTTGTTAATGAAAAGCTAAAAAGTGTTTTAAAAGATGAAACTCATCACCAAAATATGAACTCTAGCGAACAAAGAAATAAGATCGAAGTTTTCAATCTCTCTTCGTTTTTGTTTTTTGCAGAAAAGTATTCCTTTGAATTATTATTCATCGTTTTAGTAAAGGTATCTCAGTCAATTACATTTTGCTAGGTACAAAGTAGAACTGAACTCTGAGAATATGAGCGTAAGTGTAGGCGAAGACAAGTCCTGCATCTACATTCACATCGTAGTTCTTAATAATTTCTGTTTTGATGACCAATATACGTCTTCAACTTTTAATTGTGTGAAGATCATTGTACTTGCTGATTTCTCCACGAAGGAAATTTTACTTAAATACCAAATAATAATGAAATCTTATCACAGAGGTTAGTTTTTATCGAAATATTTTCACTTCAAAAAAAAAACAAACAAAGAAAAGAAGAATCGTGAATGTATTTTGAATAGTTTTTTTCTTTATAAGAACATGATAGAGAATTGTAGTTTTCACAACTAGGAAGTGACAATGAAGATACATTAAATCATATATTACAGACTATTCTAGAAAGTTTTCTTGACAGTTTACAATCCAGTTCTCTAGAAATCAGTGTATCACGTCTGGTCATCACAATGAATTTTCGATTTTCGGCAAAAAAGATTATAACCGTCAATTGAGAGGTCAAAAAAACTAGACAAGACTTAGAGTTTTAACTTTATTTGTACAGAAGTTATAGACATTTTATTATGAGCTTCTACTCGAGTTTTTGAGAAAAATAGGGGAAATTTTAACTTTTTCGTGATATGTTCATGAACTTTTACTTTATCAATACATTCAACTAGCTGAATTTTTTTGTTTTTGAAAAAAACCTTAATTAACATGGAACAAAAAATTGATCCTATATAATACGATACATCGTTTTCTTTTGTTCAACAATGAAAACTGCAGTTCTCTCTCTCTTTATTTTGTTCTTATGAAAAATTATTCAAAAAATACTCACCACTCTTCTTCTTTTTTGTTTTTTAAATATATAATAGTAACTGTTGGATTTTTTCTAACGGACTTATCATGACCAAAATTATTTATGATATTTCTAGAAGTTAACAATTTATATTTGACTCTCTATTTGCCATAATTTATGTACTATTATAAATGTGTTACTAATTAGCAAAGAAAAAACATGGTTTATGGATGACGATATGATGTATACAGATGAAAAAAATAAGCATGGGTAGAGACACCAAAATCAATCAAGCATTACTTTTGTATGTCTCAATTTTTATTAGCGTGCATGATTTTACCTAATACATGTGCTCGATATTGACGAGTAAATAATTTTCTATGAGTCATATTTATGTAGACCATATAATTAGAAAAGAGAAGCAAGTTATTTTTCTACTTCTGATTTTTTTTTTGTATTCTGTATTTTCTCATGAGAAATTTTCTGTTGTAGATATCTAATATTTTAAAAGTTTATTGCCAAAATCAATATAGCGAATATTTTGTTTTCCATTATTTGACAATTGTAAATCATTCTTTCGATACTTGTATTAATCATTTAGTAGAATCTTGCAAAGATAATCGAAATAGTAATTAATTTTTCAATTCTGTTAACTGAATAGTTTCAAAAGCATGATTTGATTTTTTTTGAGCCCTACTAGAAAATCTCGAGCATCTATTCGTTTTTCTTTTGTACTTTTTTTTTATCTGGCATTTCTTTATTGCAATAAAATCATATGAATTGTATTTGAAATAACGAAGATGGGGGAGAAAAAACCAGAACATGACTTTATTAACAAATTATTATTTGTAATATTGAATATACCTATGACTATTTTCGATGACAAGACATCTAACTGAAATATAAAAATTGTAAAAAAAAAAAATTCATTGAATTTTTGTGTAGATATGAGAAAATTAAGTTTAATCAATTCAGATACAATAGAAAAATCTATTAGTGTTATAATAGTTTTCTTACTAGAATTTGAATGATTTGTCTTATTTAAATAAATTATATGTTTTTTTTCTAACTTCTTTTACACTAGTAAATTATAAATATAGCATTTTTGTTTCTGTCTTGAAGTAATTGACAAAAAAATATAATTGATAAATTATTAAATTATCATATTTATGTATATTTGATTACCTTTATTCGAAATATATTAAAGAATAATTTTGGTAATAAAAATGAATGAATTTTATGCGATGAATATTATACAAAGATATGTGGGTGTGTCTAGGAAAAGTAGCAACCATAAAATATAAATAATATCTTAACATTGATCAGTAAAGGTGACATAGAGAATAACATGTATCACCTCTTCTTTTTTTTTTTATTCTCACAGTAAATTTCAAATGACTGATATCATATCAATAGTAGTAGGTGGTAAAATTGCTGGCAGTATCATTAGACAATTTCTCTTTTAATACTTGAATAGATATATATATATATTTCATATTATTGATGAAGAAAATGAGCAACATATCACTTTTATTTTGTGTAAGATAATAATAATGTATTCTAATGAACATTCCATCAAGAATTTATTTGCTTGGTCACACATGATAAGGTGATTTCTATTGTTGTTAGTTTTTTTTTTCCCCATTTCTATTGAAATTAATGATGTTAATAAATTTATCTATTTTGATTTATTGTTAGTATGCAAGATTTGAAGTCTATCATGTATTTGATTATTCAATTTTTCTAATTTAATTAATAGAATAATAACAATAGAAAATATGATTGAGTTGACAAGAAATTTTCTTTTTTTGTTTTGTTTTCTTATCGAATATTCTTCTATTATGTCTATTTAAGATGCATGCTTTATTTCGAAATTGTCTATTGTAATATAATGTTAGAAAAGCTAAAAATTAGTAATTCTTTTTTGCTTTTTTGTCCTCATAGTCTTTTAACAAAAAAAAAAACAACAAGGGAGGAAAAAAGAACAATATTCTTGTTTTTTTCACACATCGAGATATATATATTTAACTGGAATTGTTCTATGATCTAGGCTCTTGTAACACGCTAACATATACTAATATTAGAAACAGTAAAGGTTCAATTCATTGGATCATTGCATATATAAAAACAGGCAAAATATTTCCTCTCTTCATATCTCATCTTCTCTCTATGTTGCACTCATTCTCTTTTCTTTTTTTGACACTTGAACTAAAAAAATCATGATGATGACAAAGATCATGCATGATAGAGAAAAATCAAACACTATTTGATCGTTTTCTATTAAATAAAAATGAATAAATACATGTTGTGTATTTTTCTTTTTGTTTTTTTTTGAATGGAATGCATAACATAAAATCTTTTCTTATCAATTGAAATTTATCTAGATCAAAAATTATATCAAAAAAAAAAACAAAAAGTAAAATTAATTTTCAAAGAAAAATACTTAACTTTAACATACTATATTATGTCTAAACCACTCAGATAGCAAGTTACAATCTGCTAATAATGTAAGACAACATTATCTGCGTAGGAGGATCTACACGTTTTCTTGTTCCTAACAAAAAAACGTTTTTCTCTCTATCGCGCTGTTTGGGATTCCTTCTTCTTCTTTTTTATCGTCGTCGTTCTCGATTGTTTTGTATCGTTATATGTCTATGCCATAAGCATTGTGTTGCTTTGATACCAACGAAGACGTTAGTGCGCACAGCTTGCTCTTCTGCTTCGTCTTCTTCTTCTTCTTTTTTCTACGTCTCTTACTTTTTTCGCACAAAAAAAAAAGAAGAAAAAAGAAGAAGAAGAAGAAGCAAAGAAGAAACAGTGCGACATACAACGGGTCGACGACAACAACAAAATAAGACGACAAGGGAGTAGAGTCGTAAGGATATAAGACGCGTTAAGATTGTTGACGACAACATTCTGCAAACGTTTGAAAATGTATAATGAAATAGTGTACGTTTGATTTGATAGACAGTCGCTATTTTCACGCAATCATCATGATCAATTGTCACATTTATTTTCGAGCGGTGAGTGATAATGAACACTTCAGGTACAAGGTTTTTTTTATTAACATAAAATCTTTTTTTTTCTTCTTTTTAATACTTGTCAGTGATTATCTTTTGAAAACAAAAAAAACCCCTAACTCTTATCTTCAATTGATATAATTCGACTTTCAAAGAAAGACAAAAATAAGTTTTTTTTTTCTATAACTACTATGTCCAATTATATGTCTGACTGTGTCTTATTTTCTTAAGTAAGCACTTTTATCCCATTAGTCGGTCGATAGGAATGAGAGATATATATGCATATATATATATATATATATATATATATAATATGTCTAGTTGTTCTCTTCGTGTTTGTAGATGCGTGTATAGATGATTGTCTAGTTATTATATGGTACAAAAATATTTTGGGCTAGTAGAAAAAAATTATCATGTTTAGATTATGTCAATGAATTTATAATTTTTTTGTTTTAATGTCAACTTCACTTTTTCTTTTTTTTATATTTCTTATGTAAAATTATATACTTTAACATGAGATAAAGAATCGTATTACTTAATAATAATGATGGGAATTTACACGTAGGCGAAAGGATGTACGAATGGTTGAGTGCAATTTCTTTTTTGTCCTTTTTTTTTTTGCATCACTTAAATTCTTCATAAGAAATATTTGTTCATTTCTTTTTTTTTCTAGTGTTTATAAAATCTATTTTAAGTTATTAATGTTTTTAGTATGTTGACAAAAGATCCATGCGTGCATAAGAGATAAAATATAAAAAGACAAAGTACTTTGTTTTTCCTATATGACATTGGTTTATGATTATTGACTTCTTTCATATTAGTAAAAAAGGAAAAAAGATAAGACGGAATGAATAGAAAGATTATATGAAACGATATTACTA